ACGAAGGACGAAGATAATAATAATAATAATAATAATAATAATAATAATAATAATAATAATAATGTATTGTCGAAGGCTTTCATGGCTGGAATCACTGGGTTGTTGTAGGTTTTTTCGGGCTATATGGCCATGTTCTAGAGGCATTTTCTCCTGACGTTTCGCCTGCATCTATGGCAAGCATCCTCAGAGGTAGTGAGGTCTGTTGGAACTAGGAAAAAGAGGTTTATATATCTGTGGAATGACCAGGGTGGGACAAAGGACTCTTTGTCTGCTGGAACTAGGTGTGAATGTTTCAACTGACCAGCTTGATCTAAATTTATGTAGCAGCTGCTGAAATTGATTGGAGTCTGTTCCCTTTTGACCACAAAGCAGCTGACTGACGCTTCCCCACCAATACACACATATATGAGCAATCACTGGTGAACAGGGTGTATTGTGGCAGGGATCCTGCTTCTGCCTGTCACAATGAAGGTTATTCTCAGGAGAGAATGGAAATGTCAGTTTGCTGCTTTGTGATCAACACTGCATCTGGCAGTGTAGGAGGAGAATACTCTAGACCTAGGCTAACATGCATGGTTCTTGCAGCTATGGGTGGTATGGCCTTGACTATATTTTCCTGTATCTGGCGGTGTAGAAGGATGATAGTCCAGACCTAGGCTAACATGCATGGTTCTTGCAGCTATGGGTGCTATGGCCTTGACTATATTTTCCTGTATCTGGCGGTGTAGAAGGATGATAGTCCAGACCTAGGCTAACATGCATGGTTCTTGCAGCTATGGGTGGCATGGTCTTGACTATGTTTTCCTGCGTCTGGCAGTGTGGGAGGAGGATAGTCCAGACCTGAGCTAAGATGCATGGTTCTTGCAGCTATGCGTGGTGTGGCCTTGACTATAGGAGGAGGATACTCTAGACCAGGGGTGCTCAAACTTTTTAAACAACGGGCCGGGTCACAGTCCCTCAAACTATTGGAGGGCCGGATTATAATTTGAGAAAAAAAATGAATGAATTCCTATGCACACTGCACCTATCTTATTTGTAGTCCAAAAAAACCACTTTAAAATAATAAAATAATTAAAATGAAGAACAATTTTAACATATATAAACTTGGGGAGGCGGTGGGCGAAGCGGCCCCAAAGCCGCTTCACCCGCTGCCTCCCCCCCTTTTCCTGCCTTCGGGATGAGGCGAGGCCACATCCTGAAGGCAGAAGAGCAGGCTGGGCCCAGGGAGGTGGCGGGCAAAGCGACCCCAAGGCTGCTTTGCCCGTTACCTCCCCCCCCCCTTCTCCTGTCTTCGGGATGCGGCGAGGCTGCGTCCCGAAGGCAGGAGAAGAGCAGGCTGGGCCCAGGGAGGAGGCGGGTGAAGCGGCCCCAAAGCTGCTTCGCTCAGCGCCTCCCCCCCCTTCTCCTGCCTTTGGGATGCAGCAAGGCTGTGTCCCGAAGGCAGGAGAAGAGCAGGCTGGGCCCAGGGAGGCAGCGGGCAAAGCAGCCCCGAAGCCGCTTCGCCCGCCACCTCTCACCCTTCTCCACACCCCGTGGGCCAGATAAATGCCCTCGGGGGCTGGGGTCAGCCCGTGGGCTGTAGTTTGAGGACCCCTGCTCTAGACCTAGGCTAATATGCCTGGTTCTTGCTATGGGTGGTATGGCCTTGACTATATTTTCCTGCATCCAGCAGTGTAGGAGGAAGATGTCCCAACCTAGGCTAACATGCATGGTTCTTGCAGCTATGGGTGGTGTGGCCTTGACTGTATTTTCCTGCATTCGGCAATGTAGAAGGATAGTCCAGACCTAGGCTAACAAGCCTGGTTCTTGCAGCTATGGGTGGTATGGCCTTGACTATATTTTCCTACATCCTGTAGTGTAGGAGGAGGGTAGTCCAGACCTAGGCTAACATGCCTGGTTCTTGCAGCTATGGGTGGTATGGCCTTGACTATATTTTCTTGCATCTGGCAGTGTAGGAGGAGGGTAGTCCAGACCTAGGCTAACATGCATGGTTCTTGCAGCTATGGGTGGTGTGGCCTTGACTATGTTTCCCTGTGTTTTTTAGTTTTTTTATAATACATTTACTAATCCCCCTCTCTCTGTTTGCTTTGGATCACAGGAAATGCCCCAAAAACAACAGAGGACGGCGACAGAAGCAAAATCTAGGCCATTTTACTTCAGATACGTCATCCAGGATGGTTTAGCTTGATTTTTATACCTACATTGACCATGTGATGTACAATTTTATTACCTTTTTTTAAGAGAATGGGAATATTTATTTCAGAGGCCTTATTTTTGGACATTTTGTTTAGCGTAGCTCTGTTTTGATTTATCCTAAAAGCAGCAGACAGCTATGGACTGTTTTCTCGTTTCATGATTTGGACAAATACAGTAGTTGATTTCCTGTACTTGTATCACATGGTTATAATAGACTTGTGCTTTTACTCATGGAATGTAACCTTTTTTGAGAACAGAGACAATTCACCAATGGTTGTAGAACAAACAAAAGGAAGCCTTTCATGTTTCCTCGCAAACAAGGCACGACCTAAGGCTAAAGATGTTTACAGCATACTTTTCTTACAAGGAACTAGAAGACACTGTGTTTAAATACCGTAGTTATTTAAATGTTTTTGAAAGTTAGTAACTGATTTTTTTAGACACTGCCAATCGCATGAATTGTGAAGATGTGTATCTGTGTGTAGTTGTAAACATATTTATAATGGATTGAACCCAGACGAGATAGTTGCACTTATTTTTCATTGAAGTCAATAGAAAGAGTTAATTGTAGCTGAAATCCTACAGATTTCTTTGGGAAATAAGTGCAGCGATTTACAGCCCAATCCTAGACATGTCTACTCATAGGTAAACCCCACTGAATTCATTGGGGTTTTCTTCTCAGCGTAAACATACAAAGGATTGGAGCTTTGTCTGGGATACAACCTGATACGTATAGACTGGGTTGAAGCACCTCTGTCTTCATAAATATTTGACACTTTATTTTTAAATTGTAAAATAGTAATAATAATATACATTTCATAATTTTAATGATTGCCCAGTAGAGCAGTGGATCTTTGTCCTGGGAAAACAGGTCTTGGGAGATTTGTGTATTGGTTTGTGCTCTTTTTTAGTTACGTTAATAATCAAATTCACATGAATGGGATTAAGCCGGTGTTGGTCACGATTGAAACAGCTTTCATACTTATTACAGTTTTCTAAGAGGATACCTGTTTTCACATCAACAAATGCAATTGTATAGTCTTTGTGATTAAAATGCAAAAAAATGAAGAAAAAAAATTAAATACCATAAAAGACTTGTGCTCTTGTCTAGAATATTTTCAAGAGCGCAGAATGTGTCTCATCCAAATAAAAGTCTGCTGGTTGTAGTGATTAATATTGATAGGATGTTAGTAGTTGTTTGGATGATCCAGAACTAAAATGTAACCAGGGTGTGTTCCAGCTGTTCAACATGTAGTTTTAGGCTTTCCAATTCTGCATGTAGGATTTAATAATTTGTTCAATAAAAAGACTTTCAATATTTGAACTGGAAAGTTATGTCAATACAGTGTTTTCCCATGATACCTATTTTTTTTCCTTATTGTCTTGGTTTCGTCATTATTGGAATTTTTTTTGTTTATTTATTTATTTGTGTTATTTGTACAATAAATATTGTGACCCACCCTGAGTCCCTGAGTCCCCCTTCTACACCCAAAGGGGAGGAGCCCCTGGTGGCACAGTGGGTTAAACCCCTGTGCTGACAGGACTGAAGACCAACAGGTCGCAGGTTTGAATCCGGGGAGAGGCAGATGAGCTCCCTCTATCAGCTCCAGCTCCTCATGCGGGAACATGAGAGAAGCCTCCCACAAGGATGATAAAAACATCCATTCATCCGGGCGCCCCTGGGCAACATCCTTGCAGACAGCCAATTCTCTCACACCAGAAGCAACTTGCAGTTTCTCAAGTCGGTCCTGACATGACAAAAAAAAAACCCGAAGGGGACTCAGGGCAGTTCACAATATTTATCATGTCAGAAGCAAATTGAGAATACAGTTATAATATATTAAAAAATCACAAACAAGTTAAAAACTTGGCATTAAACAACATTTCCTTTGTCCAGAAGCTGGTGTCACTGTGAGAAGGTCCACCATTGTGATGGGACTCAGACTGTTTTGTAGTAAGAGGTCTGTGGTTTGCTCTTCTCCGCATTCGCATGTCATGGACTCCACTTTGTAGCTCCATTTCTTAAGATTGGCTGTGCATCTCATGGTGCCAGAACACTGTCTGTTCAGCGCCTTCCAAGTCACCCCATCTTCTGTGTGCCCAGGAGGGAGTTTCTCATCCAATATCAGCCACTGATTGAAGTTCCAGATTTTTACCTGCCACTTTTGGACTCACGCTTGCTGAGGAGTTCCAGCGAGTATCTCTGCTGATCTTAGAAAGCTATTTCTTGATTTAAGTCATTGGCATGCTGGTTGATATCTGAACAGGGGATGGGCCGGAGATATCAGTGCCTTGATCCTTTCATTGCTGGCTGCTACTTCCCAGGAGATATCGGGTAGTGCAATACAGGCTAAACAGTATTATTTCTCCAGCAGTGTTGGGTGTAGACATCCTGTATTGATACTGCATGTCTCATTAAGAGCCACATTCACTGTTTTAATGTGGTGAGATGTATTCCATACTGGGCATGCATCCTCAGCAGAGTAGCAAAGCACAAGGACAGATATCTTCGCTGTATTTGTATTATTGAAGTGAATGAAGTTTCATTTTGAAGGGGAGTGATGGAGTTTTTTTTTATTTCATTTGCCCACATTCCTTTGAAAAACATTGAATTCCCCTTCACCTGCAGCTAAGAAATGTGCTTAATTAAAACAAAAACAACAGTGTCTGTTAACAACATGCCACTTCATTCGTCAGCTTAATTAGTAAGTTGCTTAACAGCTACTGGATTAAATCAAGCAAATTCTTTGGTAGGGAAATATATGTTCCTTCCCCAGCATTGCTTCCTAATTTTAGAGGTTTCGTGTTGCAGAAAGCACTTGAATAATCGTGTGTGGATATTTGGTGGGTATAAATATTTGACAGGTCTCCTGGGGTGGAGTTTCAGACCCTGCTTTTGAACATTCCCCTAAAGCCAGCTGCCGAGAAACCTTCTTGCACTGGTGCCAGGATTGTCCCACTGGAGTTTGAACAGCTGTCGTGCGGAGTTTATATTTCAGCTCCGGTAGACTCCTCTGAAGACGGGCGATATGGATCATCGCACGACCACCTTGGAGGCAGATAAGATCCACCAGAACCGCCTGTCGAATGTTACGGATGACGACGAAGAGCAAGATGCCGCCTTTACCATTGTTAAGGTCTTGGACAAGGTGGCCACCATTGTGAACAGCGTTCAGGCGAGCCAGAAACGCATCGAAGAGAGGCACCGGGAAATGGAGGATGCCATCAAGACGATTCAGATTGACCTTCTGAAGCTTGCTCAGGCTCATGGCGGCACTGCCTACACTGTCAACAAGCTGCTGGAGAAAACCCGCAAAGTGAATGCGCGCGTCAAGGAAGTGAGAGCACGGGTGGAAAAGCAGAGTGCCAACGTGCAGAAGGTCGAGGCCAAACAAGAGGAAATGTTGAGGAAGAACAAGTTTCGTGTTGTCATTTACCAGGTAAACATGTACTGTTTCCAACTGCCATAAGTTGTTGCATCCTTGACATGTTTTGACAGGTTCCCTATTCGTTTAAAATAAACATGGGGAGGCCAAACAGTGTTCACAATCTCAGGAGTGCCTTCTATCTCTCTTTTTATCTATCTGTCTATCTATCTATTTTTCTTTTGTTTGGAATTGAATTCTGTCTCTGAACATATAGCAATATAAGTCTACCGGCAGCAAAGCACTGGGTCTATTATTAGTACCGGGAGGCTTTTGAGCCAGCCAGCATAAGATTAACTGTAGATCAGTACAGACTATTTGTTGCCTCTGTGAAAGGCAATCTGAGGCAAGCACTTGGGCATCTTGACAGAGTATTCCATGTGCGACTGTCGTCCATTCTTTTTTTTTCTTTTCATTCCCGGGGATTAATGAGAGATATCCAACCTCGGGTTTTTTCAGCACGAATTATTGCTTCAATTAGCTGCTTCTTTTTTCAAAGGTCATTTATATTTTCTTTGCACATTATTATATTCCCCTCCTCCGTTTTCCATGCAGTGATTAAAAAGCCCCATTTGCATTAATACATAGTGTTTGTTCCTTTCCAGAAAAATCACGAGAATTATATGTATATCTCTAAATAACTCTTCCAGAGGAGGTTTTGCAAAATTTGAGCCCTTTATTGGAACAGAATGAGCTGAAATTAATTTCTTTGCAATTCAGACGTGTTCTCTTCTAAGAGAAGACATTTCGACACATACGGATCTTTAAATTGCGGTATGTGCCCAAACGACTCGTATTGTGCTCAGTCGCAAGGGCAGAGAAATTGTAAAATATTTCCTGCCACCGCAAATCTGTGTTTAAGAACCTCTAAATCCTTCCAGATATTCAAGCTTTTTCAATCTTATTAAGGACACAGAAAATACTTTGCATCTAACTATTAAACCACAAGATTCCTTCCTAAGAATAACAGCTGCTAGGGGAAAAATAGTCTTCGATTGGCAGACTGGTTGGAATTATATTGTGAAAGTGATATATAGATAACTTTATTCATGAAAATTAGTCTCTTCCTTAAATATCTGTGGAATATTCATATGACTTGAGAACATTCTGCCTTCTCTCTTACAAAGGTAACAAATGTATTGAAAGGGTGGAAAACAGGTGAATATTGTACTTTCACCCAAAAAAGTGCTTTGGGCACACAGGGGTGGCTCAACCATTATGCAAAGTAAGCATTTGCAGTATAGTTGATTTTGCCCAGGGGCGCTCTTGGGGGAAAATAGACCTTGACATATGCAAGATATATGGGATATATAGTTCACCTACAATCAAAGAGCATTCTGAACTCCACCAATGATGGAATCGAACCAAATATGGCACACAGAACTCCCACGATGAACATAAAATATATATCAGTGATTGGTTGGGAGGGGGGTGCCAAAACACTGTTTGCTTACCGTTGAAAATTACCTAGGGCCGCCTCTGTGGGCACAAGCACATGAAAGTGAAAATATTTTAGTCCTCTATTTATTGTGATGAGAGAGTTAAATAATCACTTTAATATCTTCTACTGAAATCTGTAGAAAAAGAAAAGGGCTTAACTATGGCAGGTTCATGTATGTGTGCCACTGAACTCAATTATATCTATATTTGATGTAAATATATTTAGATCAGAGTGTAAAAAGTATTACATTTCTGTTCAGATTTGGGTGGGAAAAGCTTACTTTTACCAATTCCAACTGACCCAATTTGGCACAGACAGTCCTGATTAATCTTCTGTTGTCCCACTTTTTAAGTGCTTTTAAAATCTCCCATGTTCTTTCTTCTCCTCTCAATTTACCCCTATACCCGGGGGCTGCGGTGGTGCAACAAGTTAAACTGCTGAGTTGCTGAACTTGCTGACCAGAAGGTTAGCGATTCAAATCTGCAGGATAGAGTGCGCTGTCGCTGTTAGCCCCAGCTCCTGCCAACCTAGCAGTTCGAAAACATGTAAATCAAGTAGACCAATAGATACCGCCTCAGCAGGAAGGTAACGGTGCTTCATGCAGTCATTACGGCCACATGAGTTAGGAGGTGTCTACGGACAACGCTGGCTCTTCGTTTTAGAAATTGAGATGAGTACCACTCATCAGAGCTGGAAGGAGAAGCCTTTATCTTCATCTGTGCTGTGGCCCAGCCTGTGTATATGTGTTTTGTGTGTGTATATATTTGTGTATATGTGTACATATGTGGTTTTGCGCATATGTTTTAATGTATTTTTGTTTTTCGGCTTTTACAGTCTCTTCTGCTGTGTTTTTCAGTGTTTTTATGAGTGATGGTCACTCGTTGACCTGATAGGTATATTGTGTCCAAATTTCGTGTCAATTCATCAAGTGGTTTTTAAATTATGTTAATCCCACAAATGAACATTACATTTTTATTTATATAGATTTAATATTACTAATAATATTACAATATAATGGTATAGTACAATATAGTAATATATAATACTGATATTGTACTATGCTAATAATATAATATGTTGTATGTATATATATCTTGTAAGCCACTCCGAGTCCCTTTCGGGCATATAAATATCGTAAATATATAAATAAATGTAGCTCAATATTGCAAGTAGCAATTATTTGGTTATATACAGGTGGGTAATGTTAAACCTGGACTAATGGCTTCAACATAGGTCTCAATTTGGGTGGCATCTGTGCCATATCATCCTTTACAGCCACTTCCACATTCCCCCGTTAATGGCGGAATAAAACAAAACAAAATGTATTTCCAGCCCTTCAAAGAGGAAATACACTGAGTATGTGCAACTTTCAATTTTCAGCACCGTTAAATAATAGCACCATCATGCGTATACCAATAACATGAAATTCACTTTTGTTGCCTTGGTGCTAAGCATACATCATGGGAATGAGCACCACTTTATTGCAGAAAAGGGTAGTGGACTTAAAAAAAATAATATCCTAAATTCAATCTCATATTGTCACTTGGATTTGGTTTTCTCTGTCCCTGTTGTACTCAGAATTACTAAAATAAAAACAGCTTCGGGGAGTTTGTTGGCCTTCTAGAGCAGGTTTTTGGGGTCCATAGAAACCTAGTTCAATTGCTGTTCTGCCATAACAGAAGTTCAGCACTGGACCCTGTCCCATAAAAGGAGAATCTGTATTGATTCACAGTACAGCTGGCTGCCCCTTGGCTATGCAGTATTGTTCTGAAAATACGAGGGTTGAATGAAAAGTAATGCCTCCACCTTCATTACTTGGGTTTGGATGGGAATATATTGATAAATCAAACGCAGAAATAATCCTTAGAATGTGCTCTTTAACTACCACTATTCACTTTTCCACATAATCACCAGACAATTGGATACATTTCTGCCAACGATGAACAAGTTTTCTGAAGCCGTCACTGAAGAAGCCGACACTCTGTTTCTGCAACCAGGATCTCACAGTTCTTTCAACGTCTTTATCAGAAGCATAATGATGTCCCCGCAGATCTTCTTTCATTGTATTGTTGAAGGCTTTCATAGCTGGAATCACTGGGTTGTTGTAGGTTTTTTAGGGCTGTATGGCCATGGTCTAGAGGCATTCTCTCCTGACGTTTCGCCTGCATCTATGGCAAGCATCCTCAGAGGTAGTGAGGTTTGTTGGAACTAGGAAAAAGGGATTTTATATCTGTGGAATGACCAGGGTGGGACAAAGGAGTCTTGTCTGCTGGAGCTAAGTGTGAATGTTTCAACTGAGCACCTTGATTAGCATATAAAGGCCTGACAATGCCTAGAGCAAAGTTTTGTTGAGAGGTGATTAGATGTCCTTGTTTGTTTCCTCTCTGTTGTGCTGTTGTAATTTTAGAGTTTTTTAAATACTGGTAGCCAGATTTTGTTCATTTTCATGGTTTCCTCCTTTCTGTTGAAATTGTCCACATGCTTGTGTATTTCAATGGCTTCTCTGTGTAGTCTGACATGGTGGTTGTGAGAGTGGTCCAGCATTTTTGTGTTCTCTAATAAGCTGTGTCCAGGTTGGTTCATATTAATATTTTTCTCTCTACCTCTGAGCTTCTGCTATTGGCTGGTCCAGCATTTCTTCTTTCATTATTGGGAACGGAAATGCCGATTTTGCTTGAAATTTCTCTCCAAGTGATATGATTGTCCTGAATCAATCTGTCAACCTTTTGCTTGTGAAACTTGGTGGTTGCTGTCACAGGACGTCCAACTCTTTGTTTGTCACACAAGTTAGATGTTCCCACCTCAACATCTTTAAACTTACTCACCCAATAAAGCACATCAATACAGTCACCATAAACAGCTTGCATTCTCTGATGAATCTCCTATGGGGTGATACCTTCTGCTGTCAAGAATTCAATGACTACATGTTGCTTAAGTCGCATTGACCAACCATCTGCGCAGGGTTCCATACTTCACAGTTTAACAACACAACCATTCAATGCTAAGGCTTCCTGCCAAAATGGAACTGTAGAGGAGGGTCTACTGAACAAGCCAGTACCTGCCGCATACCAGTACTGCCATCTGTTGAGGAGTTATGAAGGTGGAGACATTACTTTTCATTCAGTCCTTGTAAGAACAAAGGATATGGTGGTTCTCATCAGGCCAGATCGTGGTGCTAAACCCAGTAGTTCTCATCAGGCCAAATCGTGGTGCTAAACCCAGTTACCATTTTCTTTGAGGCCATTTACAAGCCTCAAATTGTGAGGCCCTGAATCGTAACCCCGAGGGGCATTCCTATCTATGTAAGTGGCATACAGGAATGCCCGATCTACAGCAAGCTTGTGGTCAAAACAGCCTGTGGCATAGACCAGTGATTGCCAGCCTTTGGGCCTCCATGTGTTTTGGACTTCAGCTCCCATAATTCCTAACAGCTGGCTGGGATTTCTGGGAGTATGTCCAAAACACCTGGAGGACCAAAGGTTAGGATGCACTGGCATAGACTCAGGCCACTATTCCTGCTTTACTCTTCCACGCAGTTACAAATTCAGTGCATAATGAAGGTGGGAAAACTACT